ATCAGTTTAAAACCAGATTCCTATGGCTAGGATTTAATCAAATGAACGAATGAATGCCATTACGTACTGTCATCGATGACTAAGTAGACTCAATTCATTCGTGACATATATATTAGATTGTGAAGCGTTTCTGTGAACGATATCTGATTCAATCCTATATCGAATGTTTATAATATATACTGAATAAGAAAAAGTTCTTTTTGTATAATTCAATATTCATATAAATGTTAGTTGTTCCGAAAGTAATTTTCTCTTGTGTAATTTAATGTTATGAAAATAGTTTTCGAGAGGGCTTTGTCTACCAGGCATCTAGATGCCTGTTGTTAACTTGTCTAACTAATCTTAACGAACTAAAGTCTATGAAATGGTTTTGTTGCAAAATATGATTGGCGACTGCTGATTTTTCAGGTCTTCTATATTTTTAGTGTGCTAAGTGTTCCTTATATCTCATTTCGAAAGATCTTTTTTTTTCTGTCCATAATATTTTGCATAGCAGTCCTTACATTTAGTTTCGTAAATTTCAGACTTTGCCGAATTCTCGATCTTGTCTTTTAGATTTCCTAAAAGACTCTATGATCTATGATTTGTTTTAAAAACCACCTTCATACCTAGTTTCTTGAAAAATTTTCCAAAGTTCTTCGTGTATTGGTGATATGGAACTGATATATTTATTTTGATGTTCGTCGTTTTTGGAAGTCGAAATTTCGTTTATTCTTAATCTAAACTTTTATTCCTATTATATCATCTACAATTCGCCTCGAATGTGTGAAAGAAAAAGTCAAAAGACGACGCACTAAACAATTTAGCCCAGCACGTTTGTGCTCTCCACAGTGTTGTGAACTGTCAAGCACTGTATGTGCTTGTTTCCTTTCTAAATACATCGTATTCTAGCCCTCCATATTGCTTCCTCATTACCAAAACGTCAAGAAATGGAAGTTGTTTTTTATTTTTTAACTCATACGTGAATTTTATTCATGAAATCTGTTATTTAAAATGAAAACAAAGTCCTCAATATTCGATTTTTTGTTATCGAATATCGCGAAAACATCATCCACATACCTTAGCTATATCTTGGGATATAGGACTTTTCTTTGGTATCCATTTCGAATCTGCTCATGAACAGGTTTGCCAGGTAGGGGTTACCCATAGCCGTTCTCTCCTGTTGTTCATAAAATCAACAGGGGGGAACAGTTAGACAATTTAAAAATAACAGGCATCTAGATGCCTATGAGAGTGTAGAAATAAGTAAACATAATAATACATTCACACATTCAATAAACAATAAACACATTCCAGAGATGTGCATATGATATGCTCAAGTATAGGTGAAACTACCTCACCCTTGCCTCTCATGTGAACCTACGACTTTGCAGGTACGTGTGGGAGATACCTGTTATGACCCTTCCGAAACTGACGAGGGGCTAGTAGTACAAAATCGATCTATTGGTGGTCGTCCGAGCAAATTGAATTATTTTCAGTTTTTCATATATATGAAGTTACTTGCGACGAATCTGCCAAATGGAAAACAGTTGCACGTGAGTCTGATGGTTTTACTTCAACTTTTTGCGCGGCGTTAGCTGGGTTAGTAGTTGTTCTTTCGTCGAGTATCTGCCACACGGTTCACATGAGAGGCAAGGGTGAGGTGGTTTCACCACTACTTGAGCATATCATTTGCACCTGTCCGGAAAATGCGCATTCATTCTGACTCCTACAACGGACTATGGTGGAGTTTGTGGAGTAGTTTCCGGACTTTGCCGGCAGGTGGCGCGGTAGTACACGCTACTGAATCAACTGCAGATATAGCTAATGACTAGTTGGAATCATTACTCCATTTGAAATGACCTTCCGGTACTGACGAGGAGCTAGTACTCCGAAACCGGTATATCGCTGGTCGTCCCAACCAAATGAAATTAATTTCAGCTTGTCATATGTAGGAAGTTACTTCAAAATGGAAGACGTTGCATAGGAGTCTGGTGGTTTTACTTCAGTTTTTTGCACGACATCAGCTGGGTTAGTTGTTTTTTTCCGTAGGGTATCTGCCACACGTGTCTGCAGAGTAGTAGGTTCACATGAGAGGCAAGGGTAGGGTTTTTTCACCTCAACTTGAGCATGTCGTATGCATCTTTCCGGAAGAGTTTGTCCGCAGGTGGCGCATTGATATATTCTACTGAATCAACAGCATATATAAAACTGCAGTGTATAAAAATAATTCATCAATTATTTGAGCATAACGATATATCAAAGAATTTTTTACAGGTATGCTTCTGGACTACTGATCATCATCGTATCATTCAATTCATTGGAGGCGTTTGCTGAACCTGACTGTGATGAATCTGCAAAAACTATACAAAAACAAATCTATAATGGTGGCTATCATTATAGAAATCGTTATGAAACAATTGTCGAAAACATATCAATAAAGTGCTCCGGAATCCAGTTACCATTGCCACCAAGAATTGCTCAGAATAGTTGTGATAGATGTCCTCGCTTGTTAGAAATATCATCCTCAAACATTTCAGTGGTACCTTCCACAGCCTTCTCAAATTTTCCATTTATAACCAGTCTTCGCATGGAAAGAAATCATATAGAGGAATTATTACCAGGAGCTTTCAATACTTTACATTCTCTCAAAGAAGTTTTTCTAAGAGGAAACAATATTGAGGAACTCAGCCCTGGAGTTTTCAATTCCTTATCCGAATTGGAGATTTTAGATTTATCTGAAAATAATTTGAAGACTTTAGGAGCAAATTGCTTGGCTGGGACAATCCACTTGAAGTCATTGAATCTTTCTTCCAACTTTTTGGTTACTTTCAATGAGTCAATTCTGGATCAGAACATTGCCGAAATTGAATACATCGACATGAGTTTCAACAGAATAACAGATATCAGTATTGGAAATATTGAACACAAAATTATCAATATTGATTTAAGTTCGAACAGAATATCTACAATGAATTTCTGTATTTCAGAATTCGTGAGTGTTAATGTTAGCAGAAATCTATTGAAATCCCTGGGAAAAATATCCTGCTCCAATACGAATTCCAGGCTCATTAGTTTGGACATGAGTTTCAATAACATTTCTGAATTATTTTCTGATTCTTTCATCAACTCAACGCAACTCAAAATATTGAATTTTCAACATAACAACATATCTTCTCTTCCCATTGGACTTTTTTCTCATCTGTCGAATTTGGAAGATTTGAATTTAGCAAACAATAGTTTGGAACAATTTTATCACGGAATTCTGGAGGGTTTGGAGAAACTACGGATTCTTGACATATCCAACAACAAATTCATCACTATAAAAAGATATTTGCACTCTCTTGTGAATTTAAGAGAATTGTATATTCAACGTAATAAGATCAAGTCTTTAGATTCTGAACAACTCATAAGAGATCTACCACATCTGTCAAATATTTCTTTGGATGGCAATAATTTCACGTGTGATGATCTGATTGAAATAATACATGATCTCAGAAGCAAGAGTGTCAATATTGCATATGGGGACGCCAGAAATACTTCAAATGTTCATGGTATTTCTTGTTTAGACAATTCGAATGTGTCTACAGGTTTTTCAGAAAATATTGGCTCAAATCTAGAAAAAATAATTCTTAATAAGTTAGGACAACTGTCTAATCAGGAATCTAACTTGAACGACATGCATGAGTACTTCAATAGTGATTTTAAGAAAAGTAACTTTTATCAGTATTTGGAAAATATGAGAGAACAAAAATCTCTGAGATTTAACGATTCACAAATCTATAAATTTTTCAACCAGGACTTCGAGAATACCAAATTTTACAAATATTTGAAAAATCTAACTGATGCTGAGAATATTACCATTGAATTCAATAAAAACGTATATGACTACTTCGACAAAGACTTCAAAAATAGTAGTTTCGTTAAGTATTTGGAAAATTTGCAAAATGCTGAAAATATATTGGACGAAGAAATATCAAAAAGTGTGATGAATAAGTATTTTAACGAAGGTTTTGAACAGAGCAGATTTTACAATTATCTAGAAAAACTCAAAGTGAATCCAGAGTTTTACAATTCGTCAGGATATTTGTATGATAAAAAGTTTGATTCGTATGTCATAACAGAAGAGACAAATATTTTGTTAATATTGACAGTAATACTTTTAATTATAGTAAGTGGCATTTTGGGGATATTGACATATATTATTTTCGAAAATCTTTCTAGAAAGAAACGGAATAGTGAACAAGTGGAACTTATTGATGCATAATTTCAAAATAATATTTTTCTCCAAAAATGATTTTCTTTAGGGGACGCCTTTTTTTATCTATAGTAAGTTCAATATTCTATATTTTATTAGTTTATTGCTTGCCTTGTTGTCAAGTTCCATGTTTCATAATAAACAAATATTTGTGAAAGAAAAATTTTAGCTTTTTACTTTTCCAAATTTATCCAACTCAATCTTCCTAAGAAAGAAAGGTAGCACTAAAAAATCACTCGTCATAAAAATTATTATTACTATCAACCCAAATTCAAAAGAGNTTCCAAATGGAATGACCACACCATTGAGGAAAAGTGGCGTTAGATCGTCCAATTTCCTTCTCTTGGTGAAGGGGATTAACACAGTTTTGCTGGGGTTGACAGACATCTGCTTCCTCAGGCACCAACTGTGAACAACGTCCAACGCGCTTTGGAGGATTTTACTAGCTACCCTTCCCGACGTGGACCTTGCCAGGATGACAAGGTCATCTGCATAAGCTTACAGATCAACTTTTCTTCTGTCGAGGGCACCAAGCAAACTATCCACCAGCAGCGACCACAGAAGGGGAGATAGTACCCCACCTTGAGGGCAGCCCCTGGTGACCCTGAACCTGATAACCTCGCCTTGAAGAGTCGTAGTTGCAGCTCTGTTTACTAGCATGGCATAGATCCAGCCAGTTATGGTTGATTCTATACCCTTTCTATCCAGAGACAATCCAATAAATTCAGATAGTACATTGTCAAATGCTCCTTCAATATCAAGAAATACAGCAACCCCGATCTCTTTGTCAAGGGATTGGAAGATTTTCTCAACGAGGTTGTTTAATGCTGAATCTCTCTATTTGCCGGTTTGATAAGCATACTGGTGGTTATTCAGTGGGGATGCATATAATGCTACCCTATGTCCATCTAGTATTCTCTCAAGTCCTTTCAGCAGGAAGGATGTAAGGCTGATTGGTCGTACCGATTTGGAGTGTGGTTCTCTCCGGCCCACTTTAGTTATATATACCACCCTTGCTGGCAACCAACTGGGTGGTATTTAGTTCCACACCAGACTACCTCTATACAATTTTGTGAGAACAGGTAAAATTATTTCCAGTCTGTTTTGAAGAAGAGCTGGAAATATACCATCCTCTCCGGGAGATTTGAAGGGCTGAAAAGACTTGATAGCCCATTCAACTGGCGGTGCTATGATAACCTTTCTTGCGACGTCCCAGTCGTTCTTTTTTGGGCGTTCAGCGCCCTCCAAGATGGGCGGTCTGTTGTTATCGAGAATTAGATTTCCAGGAAAGTGGTTTTCTATCAAAAGCTCTAACGTTTCTTTATTAGAGGTTGTAGCCAAGCGGTCGGTCGGTAGCCAAGCGGTCGGTCGGTAGCCAAGCGGTTCGGCGTGGGTGCTTTGTTCACTCACTTGAATTGACTGCCGTGTTGGTCGGTGGTACAAGCCCTAGTCTAAACGATCGTTCTTCACTTGCTATCGTCCAACCCGTGTTAGGAATGCACGTTAAAAGGTAAGACCTTCTTAATCCTTAGCTCGCACAAGTTTCGACTTCTGAGGGTTGTCGTTCGTAGGGGTGCGACAGCTGGTTAACGAAAAAACAGATTTTTTTTAATGTTCCATCGGGTCGTTTAAGCGACCCAATTTCAGCTGTCCGCTCTCTAGAGGGAATCTTGTGAATTCTTGCGCTGCGAGGTAAATCAGAGATACTCTCACAGAACTTCTCCAAGACTCCCGTTTTACTTTTCTAATTTCCTTGTTGTATGACGTTAGAGTGGTTTTATAAAGCTCCCAGTTACCTGACTTTTTAGCTCGATTGAATAGTCGTCGAACTTCTTTTCTTTCATTTTCAAGGCTTTTGTTCCACCAAGAAGAGTTGCGGTTATCTCTTTTGACCCTCAGTGGACAGTTCTCATGATAGAATGAGATCACTGCTTCGCGAAATTGCGTCGCTACTGTATCCATATCATTACAACTGTGAATAGTACTGAATCCGTCCTCAAAGTACGATTGAAGGGAGTTTTTATACCCCCTCCAGTCAGCAGATTTTGAGTCACGATATTCCACTACTGGTTTCAATATTGAAAAGAATATATCTTTGGTCTGATACAGATACAGACCAATGGTGTATCTTGTTGCTCAATGAATGTGAGCTGATAGTTAAATCTAATACCTCTTGCATAATACTAGTGACAAAAGTTGGATCCGAGCCCACATTAATTACAGACATCCCCTCCCATAGTATATAATCAAAGAGTAACTCACCCCTACGGTTTATATTCGTGCTGCCCCACGCTGTATGGTGTGAATTGGCGTCACATCCCATTACTATTAGAAGTTTGTTCCTTTTACTATAGTCGATAAGTCGTCGAACAGGAAGAGGAAGTACAGTATCCAAATCTCCCGGAAAGTAGGCGGAGCAGGCGATAAAATTCGTCTTACCCTTCTTGCCCGATAGGGAAATTTGGATGCTCTGGGTTTCACCCCAGGGCACGCTATTACCTCATCAGGAATATTGCTCAGTCCAGTTACTCGGCCAGTATTTCCTGTCCATGGTTCCTGCAGGAAGGCAAGGTCGAATAAATCATCCTTGAAGTTTTTTCCAAGGACGTATGAAGCGGCCTAGGCATGTTGTTAGTTTGCCTGCAAACACTTGAAGATAACAAGTGTTGCCGCAAACTGAAAAACTCCGCGACCCTAGGGGGAGAAGATGGGGGGTACTCAAAGACACCTCCACCTTCCTCTCCCGGGATCGAGGGATGTGTAGGCTCAGATAATGAGGTGAGGACACCTGCTGTCTCTGAGTTGCCTGCTGATTTTTTTAATCTTTTTGACGAGACGATTTTTGTCTTCGCTTCCAGAGAGCCACGTCCAGCCTTTCTTCCCAGTTTACTCTACGAGACGTTGGCCGTCTTCGTCTCCTAAGAAACACCTGTTTTCCCGGCCTTGGGCTGGGTGTGAGCCGGTGGTTTACCCCCATGTTTGGGTGGAGGTTTGGTTGAACTCCTCCCCATAGGTGGATTTCCACTTGGCCCCGCCTCATTTACTCTAACGGGTGCACTAGTGTGACTCGTTTGAGTAGTTTCCTGCTGAGAGGGTGCCCGGGTTTTAGGTCACAAGATTAATTTTGAGTCCACGAAACAGATAGCACAGGTGCAAAACCCAAGAATTCGACAAATCAGGAAAGCTATCGAAATCGAAAGGCAAGGCCTCATCAACAAAAGGGATGACTCACTAAACATCCCAAGGATTTGGAAAACAATAATTAAAAACAACCACCAAAGACAACCACAAATTGATNAAATGTACCTCAACAAGACATTGACAATCTCATTTTGTCGATGCACGATAGATGTAGGGCCTTAATAAACCAGCGTGGAGGCCATACTTTGTACTGATTCCAGTTTTTTTGTATTATGATTTTTTTTCGGGGTGCCAAACAATACAACATTACAATTTATTCAAATTATCCAAATCAATATTTTGAAAGAGTTTCAATTTGTGTAAGGAAAAACACTCAGTATATGAAAAAACCATGTTGCTAAAATATTGTCTAGCCTACTAGGTGAAAGAATTGGAAAGGAGCTCATGAACTTTACCAAATGCAAATTTCAAAAATTTACTTTGTGAAATACAGAACATGAATTGTTATAAAAAATTAGATATTAGAGTTTGTTTATGAGCACAAATGGTAAATAAACTAAGTGTAGTTTGAGTGAAGTGCCAAAATTTACAAATCAAAAGGTTTTGACAGCATCTGGAATTTTCCAAAAATTGGTTACCAAGGAGATGGGGAGTTTGTTGAAAGGTGAAGCCAAGGGGTCGATGATCAATGCTGGAACCAGATCAATTCACTGCACCAAAAGGAAAAATTCAAGGTATTAAAACCATTTATAAAACTCAAACCGCCATCACTGAACCTGTTTGCTGATAGAAGGAATCCAGGAGAGACATTTCTATTTCTCAGTGTTTGAAAACTCACTGAACATTCATTTACCATTTTAAAACACTTTGAGAACGATAACCATTTGTAGAATTGATATTGATGATTGATTTGTAAACATTCACTGAGCAGCCATTTTAGTAGTCTGTCATAAGGCAGAGAACGTTGTAGCATTTAATTTCAACAAGGTTATACCACAGAACAGCAATTATTATAGAGTGGTACTTTGTGGTGTAATTCTGTTCATGATTTAAAATTTAAGATATTTTTCGCAGGTGTAGGTAGGTTAAGGTTNCTGTTAGAAATTATAGGATAAATTATATATCTGGCAACGATGCCAACACACCCCTCGCGCATAGAGAGATAACAGTTTTAAGAGCTTTTGGGTAGTTAGTCAAGTGTGACGATGGTAACACGTTAGAATAGAAGACAAACAGTGCATACATTGCACATTGTGTAATATTTGGAAATATAGTTTGTTGAAAGTACTTGGGCTTTCATTAATACTAGTGAATAATTATATACAGTACACATTAGTAACGGGTTAAAACCATAACAATTATCATTATGTTTTTTTGGTGTAGCTCTAGTAAGTTACTGAATATACTGCAGAGATTATCAATGTCAGTTTTCTTATTCATACAGTTCGCAAGTTCATACACAAACGTACAAGAAAATGAATATTTCGAAATGAAATTTCCGAACATTCTTCTCTCATATTTATATACACAGTAACTACTTATGATAACTGTCTGCCAAAAAACAACTACTTCCCCGGCTGACACAACGCTGGATATTGAATTATATCCGACAGGCATTTTTCTACAAAGAAACGAACTAGTAAATAAGTGGAATTCATTGATACATAAAGATGAAATTATATTTTTCTCCATTTATGTTTTTGAGATAATCGAGATTTTATTTTTCCAAAACTGATCATCTTCAAGAGCCTCCTTTTTCATCTATAGTCAGTTCTATATTCTAAATTATAATAGTCTATTAGTTGCTTCGTTGTGAAGTTTCGTAATAAAATAAAAACATATGCGTCTCGGAACGCCCGACAGAAGTGGTAACTCAAACTAATCTAAGTTGATTTATTCAATATTGAAATTGTTTAAATTGTAGTTACATTATTATATTGATATACATTAAATTTGAGTAATAACCTAAGCTCAGGTTATTACTTGAATTTTATGTATATTAATATGGTAATGTAAGGAAAG